ATCAAGGGGGGGGGGGGGTTCATTCTGGATGGAATCCTCATTCTCCATCAGGTCATTCATGAAGTCAAGAGGAAACACCTCAAAGTCGTCTTCTTTAAGATTGACTTTCATAAAGCCTATGATACGGTCCATTGGTCCTTCCTTCGGGAGGTACTAATAAAGAAAGGCTTCGACCCGCATTGGATTGCCAGAATTATGAAGTTAGTCCCTAGTGTCCGCACGGCGGTTAACATTAATGGGAGGTGGGTCCCTTCTTCCAAACGGCGCAAGGTGTGCGCTAGGGGACCCCCTCTCTCCTTTCTTGTTTAACCTAGGAGAGGGCGGGATTACTCATCTACATTATGAATATGATACGATCCTGATGGTTGAGGGTTCGGATGAACACATCCAACACCTCAAATTCCTCCTCTGCTTTCAAGAAATGTCTGGCTTGACGATCAACTTCTCAAAGAGACCTAGGCTCCTTTCCTATGACCTTCCTAGGCATGCCGATTAGCAATTCCCATATACTGGAAAGGGACTTCCGCCCGATGGTGGACCAGGTACAACATATGGTTGAACCACGACAGGGTCGGTGGCTTTACAAGCGGCGAGGGTGGTGCTTATTAACTCCTCCATGAGTCTACTGATGTACTTGATGGGATTCAATAGTTTGCATGAATCCCTTCACCACAATATTGCCAAATACCGTCTGAGGTTCTTCTGGGCAGGGAAGGGTGATAAGCAGAAGTACCACATGGTAAAGTGGTCTGAGATTTGCAAGCCCAAATACCAAGGTGGTTTGGCGGTCATCTCGTCCATGCATATGAGCATTGCCCATCTCTCGAAATGGCCATGGAGGATTGCCACCAGAGAAGGCGGGTTGTGGCTTGATATTATCTGCGCCAATTATTTGCGTGGACAACCTTTGGCATTTGCCCAGCGGTCTGGCGGATCCCAGTTCTGGCAATCGACCATCCAACTGCTTTCGATCCCTCAAATCGGCTCCTCCATCTTTGTCGGTTCTGAAACCAACACCTTGTTCTGGCTTGACCTGTGGTCGGGCCAACAGCCCTTTGTCGTGTGGTTCCTGCTGTTGTTTAGCATGTGCACGACCCCTAGCATGACTGTGGAGACCAACTTGGCTGACCTCGACAACATTTCCTTTAGACGCACGTTTGGCCCCATAGAACGGGACCAACGGGAGGAGTTGCTTGAGTGTGTCACCCTACACTCTCCCTCTCTTGATCAAAATTCAGTTAGAAAGGAAATAAACAAAAAACGAAGGTCCTGCCATAGTGGTCAACTCCACTCAGCAGCCGCACACAATCCACCACCAAATACAACACCCGGAAAACATAAAAGGTCTCCAAAAGCAACGCCTCCAAGAAGAAAACAGTGCACAAGTGTCGTCGTTGTCCGATCCAAGATCTTAGGTTTCACCCAAGAGAAGTCCGAGCTCTCGAAACAATTCCTTCAGCAAGGCAATTGCTAGACACATCCAATGAAGGCCAGAACTTAGGTTTTCACCCTGAAAGTCCTGACTCAACACCTAAGGAACACCACCAAAAATGAATTCATCCAGTGATGCCGCCCCCACTTGACACTGTTGCTCCTGAGAGTTATCAGACACCTGGCCGACTCCATCGCCTCGAAGGCCCCGTCTGTCTAACTGATCCTCCGATCTTAGTCACCATGACCTTCTCCACAACTCTCTACACCATAGAAATCGAGAAGCCGACATGTCCCATGGTGTCGACAAACAACATAGCTTTGCATCACGCCCTCATGGAACCTCATAGGCTAAAATGGACGTGCAGGACCGAATTCTATCTGATCCAGATATCTTGGGCAAGATCTCCGTCAGCAGTTCCGGAACACGTCGATGACAAGACCAAGGAGGACCGATCATGCAGGATGTTGCCGTGATGCGAGAGGAGCACGAGGACCACCACCCATATTATCACGGCAGCAGGCCCTCATGCCGCCCCGAACCAACCCGCCGTCGCTCAACCGCAGCCATGGGCCAAGCTCGACCAACCCACCTAGATCCAGATCCAGATAAGAGGGATTAGCATGAATCGCGGCAACCACCGGCCAGCCCCTGCACGCTGGCGAGACGAGGCCAGCTTGCCGGCCAGCAGCCCCAATGTGCCTGCCAAGTCCACCTGTGCGCCAGAGCCAGGTCGCGTAGCCCGCTCGCAGGCCTTAGAAGGCGGCCGTCACCAGCACGGGCGCGCCGGCCACCCCATCGCGCAGCCCTCCACACGGAGGTCGTGCCGCGCGCACGTCGCTCTGCCAGCCGCTGACCAAGAGGGAGAGGAATCCTAATATAAATTCGTCTGAAGCCTGATATGCAGCCTTGGTTTCTCTTCAGGCCGAGTACCTTCGGGCCGTAAGCAGACTATATCCTACGTAGCACCTGGATCTGATTTCGCTGGGAGATACAAGTGCACAAGCCGAACCAGCTTGACGGTTTCTCTTCAGGCTAACTAGCACGTGGAGCTAGCTTGTATAGCTAACTACACGCGCGTATACCAACAGCCTTGGTTGATCGATCTCGCCGGCTACGGAACGCTAGGAGGCACAAGAGTTACGGCAGCAGGTGCATGTCACACTTGTTGAATATCTTTCTATTGACCTCGTACAGATTACAGGGTCTGCATATGTATGTACTAGGAAATATGCCCCTGCTTTGCAACGGAAGAAACAAAATCCTTGCATGCTCCTAGCAAGCCAATTAATTGTCTCAAAAAAAGCTACCCATTTAATTTTTTTGCCATTTCCCTTATTCATGAGGGACATGATCAATCATAGGACGATGTGCTTTTCATCCTACTTTGGCACAATGCCCACAACACCAGGGCTCCTTGTTGATTATCATACAACCCATATGCCTATATAAATTGGTGAAATTTAATTGAAAGGGACGAGGTGGGACTAATTAGTAGTTGGCAACAAGCCATGTTTCATACACGATCATAAGCCCATTTGGCCCAGCTCGGCCCGGGCTTGCAGAGAATAAAGAGATATAGTACCTAGGACCAACTCGATCTAACCTAGCCGGTTACAAAAGTCCTAATCCTAGTACTATTAGGTGATTGTGTTGTGTACAAACCGGACACAACACCACATCGTGGTTATTTTCAACCCTGGCGGCAAGGGCAAGGAGAGAAGTCTAGGAGAGCGACCGCCAGTGCTCGTAACCGATAGTGACAATAAGAGTCACAATGCGCATGCCCACCGTCACCGCTGTGTATTCTTACAGCTGGTGGGCATGTACGGCTTTTTATTTGCCTATTTCCATATTACATAAATCCCATTCTTTCTAGGAGTATATCGTTTGTCCCTGGTGCCCGGTGCAAATGGACACCTAACCTAACGGTCTATCTTTGCACTCAAAATATGTGACTAACTTTTTCTCCTATAATGGAAACCGCATTGTATCTAAATTGTGAAGAACACTAAAAATAAGACAATATCAGAGTTAGTTGTGAAAGGTATGGATTAATTAACTAACCTTTGAATGTTGAAGAAATGACATCTCCAGAAGCTTCATAATGTATCTCTCACCGAGTTGCCAACTAGAGAATGTACTAGATGGCTCGATGAATTCAAGAGCAATCCATTGATGAATTAGATCATATTTAATCATCTTGTGACCCTTTGGAAAGATTGCACAATAGGCAAAGCATAACTTCAAGTATGGAGGCATCAAGTTGTAGCTTAACAGCAAGGACCCAAGCACTTCATTTCCGGGTGATGCATCTATAGAAGGAGATAGATCCCATATGTAATTGGCTTTGATCGAACTCCATTCTCTGTACGGCCTGGACTTCAACATGTGTCCAAGTGATTGAGCAGCTAAAGCTATACCTCTGCACTTCTTTGCAATATCCCTTCCAATCGGCTCCAACCTTTCTTTGTCATCCCTTGTTTCAAAATTACTTTTCTGCCTAATTATATCTCAGCACATCTCATCTGACAATTGAGGCAAGTTGTATGGCTGAACGGTACCGATCTGATTTGCAATCCCTTCATCGCGTGTGGTAACTACAACCGTCACCTTGCAGCCCTCACCCTGCTTCAGCATAGCCTTTAACTTTTCTAATTGAGAAGGATGCTTCTCCCAAAGGTCATCCAAAATGATCAGAATTTTGTTCTTCTTAGCAAGTAGCTTTTCAAGTTCAATGCTGATACGATGCAGATCAGTTATCTGCTGGCTCTCTGTTTCTGATAGTTGTGATATTATAGTATTGCAGATTTTTTTCAAGTCAAATATCTGGGAAACATAGACCCATACCCGAGAGTGATTTTTAAACTGAGGATCATTGTAAACTGATTTTGCCAAGGTGGTCTTTCCGATGCCTCCAAAGCCCCATATGGGAACGAAGGTGGTCCCTTCAGTGGTGCTCTCAGATAAACGAGCCAGGATTTCCATTTTTTCCTCGGTCCGCCCGATGATTTCTGCTTCCTCCATATTCCCTGCATTTTCACGGATATCGGGAACTTGCTGCTCGTTGGTGCGAGATTCTGGTGGAAGACGATAATTCTGATGGTCTTCTGTTATCTTCTGTAGACGTTTTTGCATCTTTTTCATCTTATCTGACATATTAATCTTCTTCCTCATAGCTTCGAGCTGCAAGAGGCATGACTGGATCTCTCAGTGCCATGGAAAACATGAAAAGCCCACCCATGTGGTGGCAATTTTATGACGTGCTGTTGCAATTTAAATGAAGAAAAGCCTCTCCGTAGCTCTGGACTTCCATCACATACTAACTAGGAAGCTAATACTTACGTATAGCAGGACAGCTGATCCTCTCAGCACCCAGGCTTCTATATATCCCAAATAAATTTAGATCTATTTCACTATCTAAATAAATTCAGACCTACTTCACTATGTACATAAATTCAGACCTACTTCACTATATTAAAAATACAGATCTATTTCATCACCAAAAAATTTCAGTTCCATCTGTTCATATATACCCTACAACCAACGAGATTCAGATCCAGATTGATGGCAACCAAATGGAAGGAACCTTGCATACTAGGCCGGCATCAGATGCGTAGTCGTCGAGCATGTCGGAGATGTCGTACATGGCGGCCTTGAGCCGGTTCACCCACAGGAGCGCCGAGCTGTCCGTGATGGAGCGCGTCTCAGCGTCACTGAGCGCGGCCTCCACCGACTCCAGCGTCATCTTCATCTTCTCTAGGTCTTTGGTCAGGTTCTTGTGCAGCTTGACCTTGCCCACGATGGCAGAGCCGAGCTGCTTGATGACCACCTTGATGACGCCAGAGGCGACCATGCCCCCGACGACGGCTGCCGCCATTGCTGGCCCGGGTCAGACGGATCCAACCAATCTCGACGTCCTCAGAACCTATTGGAGAGGAGTCAATGAGTGGAGACCGGTCGTCGGAGAGAAACAGAGAGGGTGAGAATGAGACTGACCTGTATCAACGCTGTCTAGACGCGGAAGCGGAGAGGGCGACGAGCTCTGGACTGGATGCGGTCAAGTGTGAGGGTGAGCGTGACTCTGTAAATGAAAGAGTTAGGTTTGCAACCAAAAAGAAACATGGAATACATCGGAGTTGGCAATTGCGCGTGCCAGCGTGAAGTGTTTAGTATTATTCTTGCTTTGTGGAATCCATGCATCAGTGTTGTACAGCTGTGCCACTTGTAGTATAAATAATGTGCATGCTCAGATCTATGCATCTTTTAATCAGGCCATCCCATGGCCATTACCTACTACGCATGCATAAAGCAAATATTGAGTCTGAATTACAACACGGAGATCGGAAACTGATACCCTAAACTGTACAAGAACAGCGAAACACAAGTAGCAGCAAGCAACAGCGTTGCAAGACAATATCCACACATCCTCATCAGATTAGCAGCCTTGGTCCAAAGAAGTTCAGCACCTTTATAAGGATCTTACCATAGGGTGCTTTTGTATATTTGCGTTTTAGCAAACCCACTTCCGTTAGGTCATTCGCATCCTCTAGTTAAAAATATGGGTGTGCTGAGATCATGAGTGAAAGCGTGTGAGGAATTCAAAGTTAGTAGTACTCTAGTCCAAGTCTGCGCAACTACTACATAGTGCTCCGCTCATGGATAGGAACATGTGCAGTATATTAGTCACCAACCTCACCACCCTTCATTATACTAGCCCCTTTCCATTGCTACCCTTTGCTTTACAGCGCAGTAGCGCACCATGTCCAGGAGCCTTTGCTTTACAGCAAGACCGATACACGGTGCTATTGCTTTTGAAATATCGAAAGGAATCTTTGCACTTTCCGCTTGGCTGCATCGAGACATCGTAGATAATAAAATGTTTGCTTGGCTGCAAGTAAACTAGTCCTAACCCCCATCATGCCTGACTGCTGCACCCGTCTTCACCTAATCTTCATTCGTCATTCTTTTAACTAGCAGAGATTGCGCCTGTTCACTCTCATTTTGCACCTGTTTCAGCTCTGCTTTACAGCTATGATTAAAACCCTATCGGGCCATGTTGGTTTAACTAGGTTTAGTATTTTCTCCTATCAATAAACCCTATCAAGCCATGTTGGTTTAACTATAGTGTCAAAAATGATCTTACATTTTGGGACGGATGTGTTAGGAAAGCAACTTATATTTCCAGGAGGCCATAGGCCAGTATATATACATGTACAGGTGTGGAATATATGCAGGAAACCCCTTATATAATAGGGTAAATATGAATGGTTACATGGCTATATATATAACTCTTACACCCCCTTCAAACTCATGGTGGATTAACAACACTTAGTTTGGAGAGATAGAAGCCATGTTGCGCTCTAGTCTGGGCCTTCGTCAGAAAATCCGCCAACTGTAATTCGGAAGGCACATACTAAAGAGCAATAACCTGATCCTGCACACCAGCGCGCACATAGAAAGCATCAACACCAATATGCTTGGTGAGCTCATGCTTCACAGGATCACGTGCAATGCTAATAGCACATGTACTGTCAGATAAGAGCAGAGTAGGTGTAGTAACAGAAGCACCAAAATCCTGAAGTAACCACCGTAACCAAGTCACCTCTGCCGTCAAAAGAGCCATAGCTCGTAACTCAGCCTCTGCACTCGAACGGGAAACTGCAGTCTGTTTCTTCATCTTCCGGCAATGAAAGAACCACCAAGAAAAACACAGTAAGCAGAAAGAACTGGAGTGAGGAAAGAACAGACGGTGAGAGATCGTGCCCTGAAGATATCTGAGAACACAAAGGAGGTGACTATAGTGAACCGAAGTGGGAGCGAAGACAAATTGACTCGGAATATGAACCAGATAAGAGATATTTGGACGAGTGACAGCTAAATAGACAAGACTCCCAACAAGATGAAGATAACCCGTCGGGTCAGGAAAGGGGCCACCATCAGTATCACGGAGGTCAACATTGAGCTCCATGTGAGTCTCAACAATGCGCTCATCGGTAAAAGCAGCACGAGCAAGAAGATCCTGTATATACTTTACCTGAGATACAAAAAAGCCATCAGAGGTAGAAGAAACTTCAATCCCAAGAAAGTAACGAAGAGGTCCAAGATCTGACATAAGAAACTGCTCACTAAGACGGGCCTTTACAAAGGCAATTACTCGGGGTCATCGCGGGTGATGATCATGTCATCAACATAGAGAAGAAGAAGAGTCCGTCCACGAGGAGAAAGGTGGACAAACAATGCTGGATCATGAGTACTCGCTGAAAAACCAACGGCAGTCACCACAGAGGCAAAACGCTCAAACCAGGCACGGGGGGCTTGCTTAAGGCCATAGAGAGAGCGACGAAGACGACATACTATGCCATCAGGAACAGAATACCCAGGTGGTGGCTGCATGTATACCTCCTCACACAGCTCACCATTAAGAAAGGCATTCTTAACATCAAGCTGAGATACAGACCAGTGGCGTGAAGAGGCCACGGCAAAAAGTGTACGAATAGTGGTCATATGGGCCACAGGAGCAAAAGTCTCGTCGTAATCATGACCATGCTCCTGCTGAAAGCCACGAGCCACAAGACGAGCTTTGTAACGCTCAAGAGAACCATCGGAGCGAGTCTTAACCTTGTAGATCCACTTACAAGTGATGGGACAGACACTAGGAGGAAGAGAAACAATATCCCATGTATCAGTGCGTTCAAGAGCAGCAATCTCCTCTGCCATCGCAAACTTCCATTCAGGATGAACAACAACCTCACGATAAGAAGTCGGCTCGAGAACAGCAACACCGGCGGTTGAAAAACCAAGGCAATCAACAAGCTGAAGCGGATGAGGACGCATGCCATAGGTAGGCTAAGACGAGGGGGACGACACGTCAGCAGACGCATCCACATTACGTGAACGAGAGTGTAATACTGAGGAAAAGATGGAAGAATACGAGGAGGAATAGCCGAGGTAGAATCAGGAGGTGGAGACGAAGAAATCACCGGGGATGAAGGTGCAGAATCTGGTGACATGCGAGGTGAGGAAACTGTGGGAAATGGTGGCAGCAAATCGACAAGATATGAAGAAGTAGAGTGAGCATGACGGAGAGACAAGGGCTCAACTGGAGTGATAGGTGTGTCGGGAAAAGTGAGGAAAGAGATATCCTCCACTGGAAAGGTCGAGGAAGATGCACGCGGGTAGAATGGACGAGACACATCAAAAGTCACATCCTGAGAAGTACGCATCCGACGACCAATAGAGTCCCAACAACGATAGCCCTTATGCTCATCACTATAGCCTAAGAAAACACACTCAATAGACTGAGCAGTCAGTTTGGTGCGTTCGCGAGGGGCAAGAAGAACATACTAGACACAATCAAACAAGTGAAGTGTCGAATAATCAGGAGAACGATCAAAGAGACGCTCAAAAGACCACCCTGGAGAGCAGCGGACGACTGAAGGTTGATGAGATAGGTGGAGGTGAATATAGCCTCGACCCAAAAATGAGGTGGTAGAGAAGCGGCGAACATCAACGCACGAGCCGTCTCAAGAAGGTGGCGATGCTTTCGCTCAGCCACACCATTCTGAGCATGAGCACCAGGACAAGAGAACTAAGGAAGAGTTCCTTGCTCAGCAAGAACACCACGCAACATCTTGGAAATATACTCACTAGCGGATTCAGCACGGAACATATGAATAGGCGAAGAGAACTGAGTGTGAACCATGGCAGAAAAACGCTTATAGATGGAAAGAACCTCACTGAGAGAAGTCATAAAATAAAGCTAAGTGTAACGAGAAAAATCATCTATGAAAATAATATAGTATCGATGGCCCCCTTTCGAAGCGAAGGGAGCCAGACCCCATACATCAGAATGGACAAAATCAAAAGGACGCTGAGACACCGAGTCACTAGTAGGGTAAGGTAACTGAATCTGTTTTCCTAGTCTACAACCCTGACACTCTAAAGAGACATCTCCTGAGACAGACCCCAGAAGACCTCAACGAAGTAATGGCGACAAGTGAGACCCACAAAGATGACCAAGTCAATGATGCCACTACTAGAAGGAGCCGGTAGCTGAACCGACAGAAGTGGATGGACTGGCGATAGTGGTGGCAGCGGAAGTAAGATGAAGCCAGTCTAGCTCCCAAAGACCCTCAGAGTCTCGGCGGTGAGGGCCAGCCCCAACCAAAGTGTGCCTTCGACGATCCTGAACAGAATAAGAGTCAACGTCAAGGATGACGCGACAACCAGAATCAGTAAGTTGACCAGCAGAAAAAAGATTCATGGTAAGTCGAGGAACATGAGCAACATCAGGAACAGAGTAAGAAGGTGTGGTAAGATTGCCTCGACTAGCAACAGAAAGAGGAGCACCATCAGCAGTGAGTACATGAACAGGAAAATCGAGCAATTTAAGAGAGGACAAATTTGGAGAATGAGAAGACATATGAAAAGAAGCTCCGGAGTCCCGAACCCACGAGGATGTACCTGACTGTGTATAGGGTGGTTACTCAGTGCTGGAAGCATCAGTCAGAGAACCTGCAGTACTCGTCGAAGGAGAAGCTGAAGCGGCAAGCAGACGCTTAAGTCGCAGAATATCATGCTCAGTCAAGGCGGTGGCTGAAGATGTCGAAGTAGAAGAAGAAGTCCCTGAAGCTGATGATCGCGCCTTACACAGGTGTTTCTTCTTCTGGAAGCACTAAGACTCAACATGACCATGCATATTATAGTAGCCGCAGTAAGGACGAGAGCGACCCTGGCCGCCGGTAGGAGTAGGCAAGAGCGACGGAGCACTCGAGCGGGAAGGAGTTGGTGCAGCAGGCAGCATAGCAGGAACTCAAGCAGCGAGCACAGAGGGAACCTTAAGTAAACCAGCGCCATGGAGACGAGTCCCCTCAGCAT